CGTCTTTTTTCTCAAAACTTATGCCCTCTTCAGATTATTCTGGAACGGCTGGATTTGGCCAGCCTAAAATCAGTGCGCGAGTTCGCTGAACGCATGCTGAAGCGATACTCTCAACTTCACTTTCTCATCAACAACGCTGGCGTGATGCCATGTACCTACGAGCTTACTGTTGACGGTTTTGAGATGCATATAGGGGTTAACCATATCGGCCATTTCCACTTGACCTGCTTGCTGCTACCCTCCCTCCGGTCAGCAGCGCCAGACTCCCGTGTTATTAATGTCTCCTCAATGGTCAACCGTTTCTGCTTGGATCTCCGACTTCCGGACCTCTCTTTCAGCCAAGAGGACTACTCTCCGTTCAAGGCCTACTGTCAATCCAAGATGGCCAATATCGTTTTCACGGTGGAGTTAGCTCGTCGTCTCAAAGAATCTGGAATTACTGTCGTCTCGCTGCACCCGGGAGCTGTTCGTACTGGGATTCAACGTCATTGGAATGTATTCCTCAGAGTCAGTTTTCTTGTATCAGAAACCTTTTTTTCATTTCCATTTGTACGGGCTATTTGCTGAAGGCTAGTATATACTTTATGCCCATGCCTGTATCCTCACATGTATATATACTCCACTTCTGCAACTAGGTTAGTAGGCCTTGAGATTTCACTTCTTTTTTCATGTATGCAGTTAAGCTCTTCTGGGCTTTAACCAATTGAAAAAGCTTCATTCATCTTGATTTCTTCAACGAATAAACTAGTTCGGCATTTGTTTATACTACCGTCATAGTCGCTTCTCCTCTATCTGTGTGCTAACAGGCATTTTGCACACTTTGTCTTTGAGCTTATGCTGGCATCGCACATTTGCCATACATATGCGTATATGTGCATTCGCGCGCGCACATGTGTTTGTGTATGTTTATATATGAGTCATAGGCAGCCCTTTTTTGCAATCGTATGCTTATGCTCAAATGTATGTGCGTATTACCTGTAGGATTGTGATTTGGCCTTCTTTTATTTGAGCTTGTATGAATTATGGATAGGCAATCGTGATTTAGCCTAAATCCGTTGGTTGCGTACTACTTCGCGGCTGGATAGCTGAGTTAGTTATAGGTATGTGAAATAAATCTTGAAGTAAATCTGGAATTGCTTAGGCTATTTGGCTATTGCCTGCCACCTGATTCTCTACGTGAAAGTCTTTGCACGTATATTTCGGCTTCAAACATATGGCCAGCTCTTACCCTTTATGTAGGGAGCTATTCAGAAAGAAATCACATGCGGTAATAATCCTTACTTTTTAGTCTCACCATAAATCGGTATAGGGAGGAGCTTGATTATCAGAAGCGGACTCTGATTTGCCTTAGTAACGATATCCAAGAGAATTTATATAAATAAATATAATGGTCATATAGAGCAGATTTCAATTTGGATTTTATGAAAATAAGCTCATGAATCGGGAGCACAACCGAAAGTGGATAAGCCTACCTTGTGAAATAAGTAAAAAATTTCGACCGTTACTGATACAATTGAATATCAACGTGATAGTAAGGTAAAAGACAACACTTTACAACAGTCTGCCGACGCAACACGAGAAGTTTGACAAACTGAATTGCTCGCGAGTCTATAGCATCACATGCGGCAACTGTGAGCAGAAGTATATTGGTGAAACAGGAAGAAATATCAGCCTACGAATCAAGGAACATCAAAGACTCTGTAGAAACATGGATACGGAAAGATCCGAAATATTGGAGTACATTGCACGGACGGCACACAAACTCGACTGGAAATCAACAGAAAAGTTGGCTGCATATGGCTAAAATACCTGAAAAGCAAGATCCGGGAGGTCATCGATGTACCGACTGAAAGAAATCTAATGAACAGGAAGATCAGGCGACAGCAAGATCATCAAAAAGAAGAAAACTTGATCAAGGAAAAATTTTGAACATGAGGACATAATCGCAGAGACGAGGCCACTAGGGGGAAAATTAGAATGAGAAAGCCATCTAGGAGTGTGAATTAGTCTCATTAAATTGCTCAAAAGGGCGCATCAGAACCATGTTTAAATAAGCATGTAAGAAATTGTGATAGTGAAGGGGTGATACGGGAAAATGGGATGGGTGGACGCACCTGGACAAAAGAAGATAATTGGTCGAAGGATTTACTTTAGTTGTAGTGTGGTAGTGTGGCAATGTTGTACTAAAACCGGCAATATTCACTGTAGATGCCGACGAGACATCTGGGTATGTACAAAGTTCACGGTCGGGCTGGACTCTGGACAAGATGTGTTCATCTAGGTCTACCTACCAATATGGCAAAGTCGCGAAAACAAGGTCAAATGACTATTATACAACGAAAGACGACCACCACCATATTAAAGGCCACACCATCTTAGCCCTCATCCCTTCAATATACCTTGTTAGTTATGTGAGAAATAGCACAGTTTCCATCTTTAATCGCATTATTTAGCCTAAATAACCAATTTGCTGTCCGTTTGAAATAGCACGTTCTATAGAAGTGGGATGACCTCGTTGTCGCAACTTGGTGTTGTTGTCAGGGCGACTATGTAGAACGCACATAGTTCGAAGTCGTCTGCCATATTAGTTGTCATGATTCCCAGCATCTGACAGTGGACTTGATACATTCCTAAACGTTTCGCCGGCATCGTAGTCGGCATCATCAGTGAGTTTTGCCATTCGCCGCACTAAGATACGAACTCGTCAAAGAGACAAGTGAAGCCAATCCCTCGACAAACGTTC